CTCGTTGCTTTTAATGAGAATTGGGATGTGACACTGTTGTGGAGAATTAGTTTGGAATGGTTTGTTAGTCTGCTGGCATTATGAATACACAGTGTTTTTGTCTTATTCCCATCTTGGTGCCTTGTGTAGAGGCATTGAAACAAAAATTGAATAATTACCAAGTAACGTGAGATAATTTTCCTGTTGTACTCTCTTTCCTATGCTTTCTTTCTAATGCCATTGATGTTAGTGACTAAGCAGGCTGTTTGTGTTTCATCTTAAGTCCTACCTGCTTGTCTGACTGCCAGCATACTGCCAGTATAAATATCACTACTCTCTCTGCTGCTCATTTATGTACGCTATCAGTTTTCCACACTCAGATTGTGACACAACCCAGTGTTCATTCTCACAGGTGTGGACTTTTTGTGGTATTAAATAGATTTTTTTCATCAGATTTTCAGAATTTGCTGGGATTAGAACATATGTGAATTATAAATTGCTCTGTGCTTTTTTTTTTTGAAAAAATAACAAATTAAATGTAAATAACCAAAAAAAGTTTCTGTCAAGAGTGCTTGATGTTGACATAGTGACATCTGCCCTCTCGTCTCATTTCCCTTGTCTACAGGAAAATTGGTTGAAGCTGCAAGATGCCATGTGGCTTTGTCTGAATCAGCGTGTTCTGATGCTTTCAGATTTATAATACTCAAGACAGCAGGGAGCTGCTTAACCTGGCAGGTAAGCTGAGTCCGAATTTCTGTTCCCTCTAAGAATGTATAATTAATACCATTAAAATTGCTGTTTCATTGTATACCATTATACAATCTCTTTGTACAGTACATGACACAGTTGTCAGTTTTGAATTTGCAGAGAGATACTGTATGTTGTTTAACACAAAGCGATGGGTGTTGTGACGATACACGATATTGCGTTCACAAGGACAAGACGATATTTTAACACAATTTTTAAGAAATCTTCAGTGACAAAATATATAAGTGGAAAAAGGGTCTTATTTGACTGAAAATGACAAAATGCAAAACAGTTCAGGTGCATTTTGAAATGTTTTAACTAACCATCAGACTATGAGTTATCATATGCAGTAAAACAACTGATTGGCTTCTATCCTGTATAATTTCACGAGTTTCTTCAGACCTTATAACTGCGCATGAGCTTATAACTGAAGCTGTGTGTGACCCATGCTATTTTGACCCTCACCGCACCACACTGGATGGTGACATTATCCAGCAAAGGTGCCGTGTTGACCAGTCATGTATGGAGGATGATTGGGATGTGGATGCCCGCGGGAAGAAGACTAGCAGGACCATTCACTGTTATTCACAGTTAAATTTGGGCCACAGTTAACACACCATAAAGACATGCCATCCATTTCCATTAGTACTGGATGTTAAATGGTGTTTTTTTACCTGTCAGTGCAGACACACTGGTGGTAGAGTAGGCTACGCTAGCAGTATGGCTAAGCGAAACACAATGGAAACTCATGGGCTGGAAACATGAACAAAGCCACTCACACTGACTCATCATGACGTGGCCTTGTCGTACATGCCTACGACACTCCCCCTGCAACCCCTCACCCCCCAACCAATGCAGCCCTGTACATTAAAACGCAGCAGGGAGTTGCGTTTTTGTTGAATTAATGTGAATGTACTGTCACTTTGCTGTCACACTCTGTCATACTGGCTGCTGCTCTGGTTCTATTATGTACTGATATTGGGAGACAGTTTTTGCCTCAACAAGAAATATTGTCACATTTTAATATCGTCACACCCCTACTAAGCAATGCTAATTTCTTTTTAAGCTGCTGTATATCAAAAAATGATGACCACTTTTTTGTTTACTGGAGTTGGTCTCTTTCTTCGTCTTAAAGAGCTTGGGGTGGGTTGGGAACAGTTGGTATTGTGGGCATGTAAAGGCCATTAAGTAATATTGGACTGTATAAATAAACTGCAGCACCGCAGGGTAACACAAATTTAGAGTATGAAGTAACCAGCAACATCACCACCACAGGGCAAAGAAAAAGGCATTTTTGACTGAAGCAATCAACATCTTCAGCCTGGCACAAGCTGGATTTGATGGTCTTTTAAATAAAGGGTTAGTCCTCCTTCTACCAGCAGACTGAATGGCCTTGTGTGTTTCAGTTTGCTAGTTCTTTGCTTTTGTGACTAACCTTGTATAAATCTTCATTTCTGTAACCAGTACTTTCATGCTTTGGCACAGAGAAGCAACTGTAAAGCAGCTAGATTTGTCAAACTGCTCAGCAAACTCTCCCAGTTAACTGGGTTCTTACTGGGGTTGTGTCTGTTTTTAGTTGACTGATTTACGCGTTAAAGATCAATCCCCTGGAGTTGAAATTGGAAAATGATTTCATCCTTTCTGACTTCACAACCGAGGTATTTCAAAGTTGTAGCTTCACATCACCTAGAAAGCACAGCAGCTATTTCTGGACTTGTTCTGTTTTGGAAGTTATTCCCACCTCTTCTTTGATGACTGGGGCTGCTATGTTGGATAAGTCCCTGTGCATTCAATAGCAATATGGTTGTCACTGCTGTTCTATGATTTCACATTCACTATACATATTTTCCTTTTTCCCCCCGTCTTCTCTTGACACATTTGATCTGTAGTTTGTTGTTGTGTCTTGCAAACTGCTACAAGAAGACAGTTTCCGTGGTAAATGTCAGTTGGATTTTGTCTCTTGGTGTTGAAAATGTTGAGCATCTGCAGTTGTATATCATTTCTTTATTTACAGCTGTGTTCAAATGGTAGGGCGCTCCTGGGACATTACATATTTGGTTCATTTCTGTACTGAATAGATGTAAATACAGTGCCTTGCTGCAAAGACGCATTTAAATTTAGGCTTTCTTAAAATATCAATGCACTTGTGTTTTTTTTTTTTATGTAAATAAAAAAACAGTAATTGAAATATGTTTGTAAGCTCTAAGTCAGTACTTAGGAAACCAGCATGGACCGTGGATTATAGCCCTCAGCGTCCACTGATTTGAACATCATTGAAAATCTGTGGATAGATCTTTAAACATACTGTGCGGGCAAGTCTAAAAATACTTCAGAACTTGAAGTGATCTGCAGGGAAGGGTTGGTGAAATCAGGAAGAGAAAGGCTCTTATCTGGCTACAGAAAGTGTTTGCAAGCTGTGATATCTGCCAAAAAGGACTTTACTACTGACTGAATGTCCAAACATTTCAACATGTCACAATTATCATTTTATTTTTTTATTTTCATAGTAAATACAAATTAACAGTGAATTAATATTTGAAGAAAGGCTCATTCTTAATGGACACTTGCTGCAGGGATTGTGCACTACTGTGGATGGGGGATGGTTAGGGGAAGTTATCAGAGGAAGTTGTTTTTGACATAATTATCTTCTAAATAGTGATGCACTCATAGTGATAGTCATTAACTTGAATGTGCTCAAGACGATACAAGGATGGTGCAGCCACATCTCTTCTTGATTTCCTCTGGGGAATTTCATCAGTGAGTGCTTTTACATGGACATGAGTATCCCGGCTATTAAGGGTATTCTGGTTTTTATCATATCATACAGTATGTTTATATGGAACACAGAGAAATGTGGTTAGGCAGATCCCTATATACAACATAAAAACTTGTGTCCTGGTTGCTCATGACTACTAAATCTTCAGCCTCCTCAGCTCCGCCATCTTCTATATCTATCATTATGAATTTATAATTAGGAAAATGTTTCCTAACTGTATTTATTTGTTTTTCTTAATGGAAAAGAGTGAGGATAGCCTGTGTACACCCTAATGTTAATAACTGTTATGCTTTTTAATGCATCTGAATGGAGCCTTAGTACCCACTGAGTTAGTCTGTGGATGGGGGGTGCCTGGGGTAATGATTATCCATGAATAGGCTATATGACAACAGCAGTGGTAAAGTCAGAGCTGTATTACAGTTGATTATGATTATTTGAACAAATGTGGTCCAGAGACACGGTGGTTGGCACTGTTACCTCATAGGAAGAAGGTTCCTGGGTTCAAGCCCTGGTCAACACGGGGCCTCTCTGTGCGGAGTCTGCATTTTCTCCCTGTGCCTGTGTGGGTTCTCTTCAGGTACTCTGGCTTCCTCCCACAGTCCAAAGACATGCAGCTTAGGTTGACTGGCGACTCTAAATTGCCCCTAGGAGTGAATATGTTGTTTGTCTACATGTCAGGCCTGTGATAGACTGGTGACCTGTCCAGGGTGGACCCCGCCTCTCGCCCAGTGTCAGCTGGGATTGGCTCCAGCCCCCTTGACCCAATTCAGGAATAAGCAGTATAGATATTGGATGGATGAACAAATGTGGTGTAAACACAGCTGTGACATCAACTCTTTTTGTGAACAATTTTCTAATTTAGAAGTATTTAAAAAGGTGATTTTTTTAAATATTCAGAGTCCAAGAGAAGTAGATTCTGTAAAACAAATAGAGTAATAAAGCTTTCATTTTTTTTAAGTATGAACTTTTTATTCAATACAGTTTGCCAACCAGGCGACATCGCTGTCTAAATGCAGCTATAGCACAGTTGGTCAAGTCAGGGTCAAGGTTAGATACGGGATCTCTGCAACAGCATTCTTCATGGAGTTGTTCACCTGATCATTTTTAAAGTTGCTTCTCATTCAGAAATGTAGGTGTGGAAATGGAATGGAAAATCTCTGTCTTCAAAAGTTGTCAAAAACAAATCTGTCCACCTTTTTACCATATTACTTATGTTCTGTTTCAGTGCCTGTGGTTTTGCTACAAAGGCCAAGTGTAGCATTTTAGTCAGTGGTGAGTTTCTCAGCACTGAGAAAGTCAGTTTGTACTGACACACTGAATATATGTCTAGATCCATCAAGATTATACACTGTTGACTCATGGAAGCTCTTTAAGTTACTCCACTTATTGATTGTTGCATTTCCCCACTGTGATTGTTCTTGATAAATGGATTAGGATGTGCCCTGTGCTTTTTGCCTCTGGAGTTACCACAACAATGCTCACTAAAAGCGTCCTTACTATCCAGTTCTAGCAGTAAACAATGTAAAGTTGTCCCATTAGAACCACATTGATAAGGTTTAAAACAATTAAGCCACAGAAATATCCAACTTGCAGGAAATGTACTGTGAAACTGGAAATAGATAAACCTTGGATAGTGGTCTGTCTGTGAAGCCATCATGTCAATGGAGCCAAGGTCAGCAGAGATCAATAAATGACTGGGTGTCTGGAACATGTATCACAGTTTTGCCTCTCTCTCTCTCTCTCTCTCTCAATCCCCAAGTTTCCCTTAAGGCCCCACTAAGTGGACTGTGGAAACCAGCAGCTGTTGGCGTTCCCATCAGAGCACCTCAAACAGGGAAAGGGAATTTCACTAAGGGGGGCACAGGAGTTTGAAACATCAATATAAATGATCTATGGGTCACTTCTCTGCTTCATTTTTTTAACCATCAGTCAGAGCAAACCTCAAAGGGACAACAGACTACTCTAAAACACATTTTTATTGCGACTATCTAAAAAAAGGCAAATGTTTGTTGGTTATTGTTGAATTTTCACAAGTTTTCATGGCAGCTCAGTTTATGGATTTAGTTTCCAGCATATAGAGTCAGAGGATTACATACAGTACACTTCAGTGTTGGAGTAATTCATTCATTCATTCATTTTCTACCGCTTAATCCCTGAGCGGGGTCACGGGTGGGGCCGGAGCCAATCCCGGCCGGCAATCGGGCGAAGGCGG